AAATTTTAATAATTTATATTAATTTAAAAATTTTAATTATATAAAACTAATAATTTAATTACTAATAATATTATTTTTTTATATATTTTAATATCTTTAATATTTACTTATTAAATTAATAATTTTAATTAAATTTAAATTTTATTTTTATTTTTTATAATAATAAATATTAAATAATAAATTAATAATAATTCAGATTTTGAAACATTATTGTTATCCAAATAAAATTCAAATGTTTTACTTGAAGATGAAGGTTGAGAAAGATATATATAAGTATCACAGTTTTTATTTATTTGGTTATGTATTTATATTTATAAAATGATAGTTTTTATTAAAAATTGAAATTTTCTTTATATTTAGTGTAATTTATTTATTTATAATAATTTTTATTATTTAATTTTTAAATTAAATAATAAAATAATTTTATTAATAAAAAATTTATTAACTAGAATTGTAAAAATAAAATTTTCTTTTCTAAAAAAATAAAAATTAACCGAATCCGACTCCTAGACTAGTAAAAGATGGACTAAGCTAAAATTTTGATGATTAATATAAAAATGAGTTGACTCGGTCAACTTATATTTTCTCCATTAGCAAGGATTTGAACCGAGTGAGCCTATATTGACACCGTTAGATATGATGATGCCTAGGTGGAGAGTAGTGATAGAGACACGTACCAACTTCCCACGTGCACCTTTGAGATGTAGGCCCCACTCAATGATCCTTTCCTAACTCATTTTCCAGGTCCAGTTGGATGATCATTCTATCAAGGGATCAGATCACCGATTTGAAATTTGGGTATTTTGGGATTTTGATTTACGTTCTTTCTAAACTCGGGTCATTTTCACTCTTGTGATAAATTGCCCAAAACTAATTTTTTTCAAGTTTGTAACTGACTTTTTAGATTTTGAATTATATTAAATTAGTTGGTGTCACAGTTTTAATCAAATTATTTTATACTTAGATGATTTATTTTGAAACATAAATAATAAAAATAAAACATCTTACAAATGAAGTTGTCGTGATTTAAACGTTAATGGAAGAAAATATTTTCTCAAAACCATTTATAGAATTGATATGGTAATTCCTGTTGTGACGTTGTTGCATCATTTGGATTGAAACTGTGAGACAATAAATGATTTAGGTTTCGATGAGTTAAAATTAATTTTAAGATGATTTTATAACTTGACCTGTCCATGGTCTAAATTAATGATCATTTAAAAATTATATACAAAATCAACTAAATATTTACAAATTGTACGATATTTTTTTTTCTAGAAAGCAAATTAATGTAAAACTTGAAAAATCAAGGTGAGTCACTTACCTCAAATGTTAATAACTACAAAAAATAAACAGAAAATATATAAATAAATAAAGTTACCTGCAACATTAAACAAAATGTTAAAACTTTAAACGTAATAAAATTTAACAATAAACGAATTATAATATGAATGTATGAATTTTCTTGTAGAATTTATAAGTTTAGTACACTTTTTTATTGTAATTCATATTTATGAAAATGAAATATTATTATTTTAATTACATATTTTTTAAATAAATTTATCAGATCTAGAATCAATCCTCAATCACCATGAATCACAAAAGATGATTCTATGATCGATTTTATAAAAATATGAACTGATTCGTGATTTAATTGGTTTGTGATCCTAACTTTAAAACCATCCACCTTATAACATAAATTTATAAATTATTTATACATATTATTATGAGTTTATGAAATTTGATGTTGATGAATTTGTGAATTTATGTTGATAAATTTAATGAATTTTTCCATTGCAATAAAATATATCATCGGATTTCCTAAACAGCAAATTTGCCCAACTAATGCTAGTCTGTATTGCCATTCTCTCTCTATTACATTTCTTAGACTCTCACTTCTTCCATTCAGTTAGAGCTAAACTGAAGTTGACTTTTTAATTTTTATTTTTTCTTTCAATCGAATCATTAATTCAATTTATAACTTTATATGATTATCATTTAATTAATTTTTATGTAAAATCGTAAATTTGTCTCTACATTTCTCTGTCTCTTTCTCCATTCGGTTCTTTTTCTCCCGTAACTAGTTGAAATAATTTGAGTTCCAAAGTTAATCTTGAGGATGCAAGAACTTGTGGAGAGAAGAAGAATCCAAAATGGATATGGTTGAGAGGAATGACCTTTTGGGTTCAGAATGGAATCGCCACAACAATATTACGTGAACACCCAAACTTTGTTTCTACTTTTTTGTGCTATGCCCTTGCTTTATTGCTCATTAAATGCTGCGTTTTTTAACTTTCATGATAACCAGGAAACTACGTTGCATTGCAGTCTTGGGGGCCATGTACGTTTTGTTTATATTAGAAATGCCTTTAGTACCGAAAAATAATAAAAAAATGACACGTTTTTTTTAAGAGCAAAGGCATCAAGTTTATTCATAATGCATGGACATGAACCCCTCCTTCCTTACACATAAACATTAAAGTAAAAAGCTTTAGTTCATATATCAGTCCATTTTATCTTATATATGTTTCAAAAAATCTCTTCAAAAGATCAAAGAAAAACGTCTTTTGTATACATTACCAACCCAAAAGAACAGAAGCAACCCTAAAGAAAGTTACAACATTCTTCTCTCTTAAAAATAAAAATGTCTCAGAAAACTGCAGACATCCACGAACTTAACTACATATCCCTACATCCCAATTGTCATCTCTCCTAATCCAAAAGCACAGAAGAGGGATCATTACTAAAAACCCAAAATACAGACAAAAGACTCAAGGCTCGTTAACAGCTATAACCTCCCATCAAACCGAAAAACTGAGGGTTAGTTATAGTTGAACCTCACTTCCACAATCAAGATTAAAAATGGAATTTAGTACCCTCTCAATATCTTACTTTGAAGATGGATGGCAGCTTTAGCAAGTGAATCGGCTTCTTGGTTAGCCTCTTTAAGTGAATGTATGATTTCCCATTCTGTACATAAATCCTTTAACCTTTCAATCTGATTCATCCAAAATCGCAACCTCCAAGGTGCACTCGCAGATCTTTAATCCATCTAACAATATTGCACGCGTCACTTTCAATCAACAAGGAATGATTATCTTTCAATCTCGATGCAGAGAAGATCAAGAAAGCCTCCTTCACAGCGAGAACTTCCGCAGTAGTAGAGTTGGCAATACCAATCGGTTTGGAGAAGGTAATTAACACCTCTCCCTTCTCATTCCTCATATACCCCCAATTCTAGCGAGTCTCGGACATCCTTGAGCTGCTCCGTCCACATTAAACTTCAGTTGCCCTAGCTTTGGTTTTTCCCATGTAGCACCTTTTCTCTCTTTTGCTTTCTTTTTACCACCACATCCAACTTCAGGAAACATAAAAGTAGTCAGAACAGAAGGATACTCGTTGGGCCATTTAGCATTAGCCCAAGAGGCCACTCTTATCTTTGAGATCTCCCAGCACTGTGTACTATCCCAATCTTACCGTTGAAAACAACATCATTCGACATTTCCAAATGTCCAAACAACACAAAATAGCTCATTCGCCATATCCTCTCATCTGCCTTTCTCGGATAACAGTTATTCCAAGAATCAAAAAACAATTTAACATTGCTAGGAACACTCCACTGATAACCAAATAAATCACACCACCTAACCCACACCTTTCACATTTCAGAGCAAAAAATAAACAAGTGATTGACAGATTCACTCTCTTTATTACACAAAACACAAGTACTTTGATTATCCTGAATCAGTCCCCTACTTACCAGTTCTTCCTTCACTCCAATTTTTTCATGAAGCAATTGCTACACAAACGCCTCAATTCTATGTGGTGCAAGGCTAGCCCAAATATTCTTCCATATCTTGTCTCTCATGTCAGTGGGCACCATCAATCTTTTGCAAAAGGATTTTGAAGTGTACAGACCATTGGCCTCACCTTTCCACACCATATCATCTTTTAGTGTTTTGCTAATCTGGATATCAGTGAGAAGGATTCCGAGCCGATCCCATTGAGCTACTTCCCAGTCAAAGAGATTTCTTCTCAAGGAAATATCCCATCTCCACACATTCTCCTCCCACCTTCCGTACTCTGCCATCCTCCCATTTTTATTGTTTGCCAGTGCGAATATCCTTGGGAACATTTGTGCCAAAGTTCAAAAAAAAATAACACATGTTAACCAAATATGTGTGTTTTCATTTTATTTCATTTACTTATAAACTTTTGGATCCAATAGATTCTTGGCTGACAATATCTAAAACTAATGGAGGAATAGCTTAGGGGGGAGTGTGCTTTGCTTTGCAATCTTACTTAACTTTGTAGGTCAAATCTTTTAATTATTATTAACTAAAAAGAATTTAATCATTATTGTATTTCTGTATCTAATATAATGATGAGTACATATATATATTTTTTAATTTTAAAAAATATTTTCAATTCTTCTTTCCTTAAATTATGAAAGAAAAATTTATCATTATTTATTTTAAACAGAAACTAATACCGTTTTTTTAGGTGAGACTTAAGATTTACTTTTATTTTATGACTGATACTAACAAGTGATTTAATATATATATATATATATTAAAAAATTTAGCATATTAAGAAATTTCTATCATATTAAGAGTTAATTATATTTAATAAAAAATATTACGAGTTTCAAGTATCTTTGAGTACTCGGTAACAAAAGCTTTATTTTTTATAATAATTATTTTTAAATGAATAATAATAATAGTGATATAAATCTAAGTTTATTTATTGTGGACAATAATCTAAGTTGTATTGATAATAATATTTATCATTATTATGCATAAACTAAATGAGCAGGTGACAATCAGATAAATTTGTAAGTGTTTACAACTTAAATAGTAAATATATCTTAAGATCATAACGCAAAGAATAAAGACACTAATCCCAACTTTAAACCCAAAAACATGGAACCCGCGTTATCAAGTGGCCGAATCCCACCACAACGTATCCATCGAGAATCCCGATTCTCAAACAGGCAGCCAACACGCGCGCACAAACACCCACACACACTCTCTCTCTCTCTCTCCTAGAGCCCATCGAGTGGAGGGGTCTATATATAGTACTGTACTTGTTCTGTAATTTATCTCAGGAACCCACTCCATTAAGAAGTCTAGCAGCAGCCTTTCGTTGTAAAACCCCGCCCTTTACCTGCAATAATACTTCCCGACCCAATCCCCACCACACAATCCCTCTTCAATTCACACATAGTTTGTCAAATTTGGGTTTTCTTTTTGGGATTTGGATTTTGTCAAACAAGAGTTTATTTGAAGAAGTTTTCGGCCGTACAAAAGAGTTTTAAGTAATAGGTTGATTTCGGATTGTTTGTTTTATTCAGGATTTTGGAGGGCGACTAACGGGGAATCTGCTATATAGATATGTTTGAAGGTGGTGGAATCCATTTTCTGGTGAGCCTTTTGATTCCACTGGTGGCTTTTATTTTTGGGTTGAGAATGGAATCATCTGAATTATCTAAAAAAAGCTGTTAACTTTTGTATGGTTTCAATGCGATTTTTACTTTGGTCATGATTCCTGGGTCCATTGGATTCTGGCTGATAATAAATAAGCTTAATTTGATATGGGATTTTTAATCGGATTATGGATTATGTTGGGAAAGTCTCAGGATTTGTCCGGGTAGTACGAAAGATTAACAGATTCCATGCAAAGCTTTAAACTTTTGTGATTTGGAAATCTTACGTTTGCATGGGTTGAAGAAGAAGAAGAAGAAGAAAGAAGAAGGAGAAGGAGAAGAAGAAGACAGAGGACAAGGGTGTTTGAGAAAATGTCATCCAAGTCGACAAACAAGACTAACTGTTCTAGGAGTAGTTCTGCTAAATCAAAACAAAATGCTCGTATGGTTGCACAGACCCCAATTGATGCCAAGCTACATGTGGACTTTGAAGAATCCAAGAGGCTTTTTGATTACTCCGCGTCTATTGACGTCAACATTTCTAGTTCAACCAGTAATGTTCCCTCTTCTACTGTGTCAGCTTACCTTCAAAAGATGCAAAGAGGAAGTCTAATTCAGTCTTTTGGTTGCTTGATTGCCGTTGATGAGCAAAACTTCACGGTTCTTGCTTATAGCGATAATGCTCCAGAAATGTTGGACTTGGCACCTCATGCTGTTCCAAGCATAGAGCAACAAGAGTCTCTGACTTTTGGAACTGATGTGAGAACAATTTTTCGCTCTCCAGGTGCGTCAGCCTTGCAGAAAGCTGCTAATTTTGGGGAAGTTAATCTTCTGAATCCGATATTGGTTCATTGTAAAATGTCAGGTAAGCCCTTTTATGCTATTTTGCATAGGATTGATGCAGGGTTAGTTATAGATCTTGAACCAGTGAACCCAGCTGATGTGCCTGTAACCGCTGCTGGGGCATTGAAGTCCTATAAGCTGGCAGCCAAAGCCATCTCAAGATTGCAGTCCTTGCCAAGTGGGAACATATCTCTGTTATGTGATGTTTTAGTTAAGGAGGTTAGTGATTTGACTGGTTATGATAGGGTTATGGTTTATAAATTTCATGAAGATGAACATGGAGAAGTTGTTGCTGAAAGCCGTAGTCCTAACTTGGAACCTTATCTGGGCTTGCATTACCCAGCTACTGACATACCACAAGCCTCAAGATTCCTTTTCATGAGAAACAAAGTTAGAATGATATGTGATTGTTTTTCCCAACCAGTTAAGGTGATTCAAGATAAGAGATTGGCTCAACCTTTAAGTCTTTGTGGATCCACGTTGAGATCTCCTCATGGGTGTCATGTACAGTATATGGCAAATATGGGATCCATTGCGTCTCTTGTGATGTCAATAACTATCCATGAGGATGATGATGAGATGAACAGTGAACAGGAGAAAGGAAGAAAATTATGGGGCTTAGTGGTTTGCCATCACACTAGCCCCAGGTTTGTTCCATTTCCGCTGAGATATGCTTGTGAGTTTCTAATTCAAGTATTTGGAGTGCAAATTAACAAGGAAGTGGAGTTAGCTGCCCAATTGAGGGAGAAGCATATTCTGCGAACTCAGACTGTGCTTTGCGACATGCTGCTGAGAGATTCTCCAGTCGGAATTGTTACTCAATCTCCAAATGTCATGGATCTTGTTAAGTGTGATGGTGCTGCACTTTACTACAGACAAAAATTATGGTTGCTTGGAGTTACCCCTACAGAGGCACAGATTAGAGATATAGCTGAGTGGCTTCTTGAGTACCATAGTGGCAGTACAGGCTTAAGTACTGATAGCCTAATGGAAGCTGGCTATCCAGGTGCTTCAGTTCTTGGGGAGGCAGCTTGTGGGATAGCTGCAATTAGGATAACTGCAAAAGATTTCTTGTTTTGGTTTCGGTCCCATACAGCTAAAGAAATTAAGTGGGGTGGTGCAAAGCATGATCCTGGTGAGAAGGATGATGGAAGAAAGATGCATCCAAGATCTTCATTCAAGGCTTTTCTGGAGGTAGTCAAGTGGCGGAGCCTGCCTTGGGAGGATGTAGAAATGGATGCAATTCATTCCTTACAGCTCATACTGAGAGGATCCTTGCAAGATGAAGTTGCCGATGATTCCAAAATGATTGTGAATGTACCATCTGTTGATGACAGGATTCAGAGGGTGGATGAACTGCGTATTGTCACTAATGAAATGGTCCGCCTGATTGAGACAGCTGCTGTCCCAATCTTCGCTGTTGATTCTTCTGGTAATATAAATGGATGGAACTCTAAAGCAGTAGAACTAACTGGCCTGACTGTTGAGCAAGCCATTGGCATGCCATTTGCCGATCTTGTGGAGGATGATTCAATTGATATTGTCAAGAACATGCTGTCATTGGCCTTAGAAGGTGATAGTGAGATTTAGCTTTTGAACTTGCTTCTAATTAGATAATATTTTTTAATCTTTTTGCATAGAAAATATATACATGTTAACTGACTAGCGTATTTCAACATCTGGATATTTTTGTTTCTTCCATATATACCTATGCGTAAACTGTGTAACTTACATTCACATCCATTTTTTAGATGTTTGTTTGGCAGCAGTACAATTGTATTTGGAGTGCATAGCTAGGTGTTATTTACAGGAAGCATATTGTAGGTATATTGACTGACTGTTGGGATCACAGTTTTATGCTTTGTTCAGCATTGGTTGTCTACTTAGTGCTATCATGCTGCTTAGCAGGTTGAATTGTTTGGCACTGCTTTCTGATCTCTTCGCTGGCTGATGCAAATAAACCAAAAACCATGCATCTTCCTTGAAAAAGAAGAGAGTGCAAATTGTTCAGTCACCTAATTGATGAAATATGGTTTGCATGTATCATTCTATTTGAGCCTTCAGTGATAGCCTGCCAGAGAACTGGACTAATATTTATAATCTTATTCATTTTCTCATAGCCATGTAATTGATCATTGCCTTTGAAAGATATAGATTGTGCTAAATATTTTTACTTGCTTTTTGAGTTCCTTTTCTTCTCACATCTTTGCTTTGCACTATTTTGACGTTTTGTCTATTTAAACTGGCTCTGCATGTTGATGACAAAATGGCAGGTATAGAAGAACGCAGTGTTGAAATCAAGCTTAGGACTTTTGGGTGTCAGGAAAATAATGGCCCTATCATCTTGGTTGTCAATGCATGCTGTAGTCGAGACTTAAAGGAAAATGTTGTTGGAGTTTGCTTTGTTGGGCAAGATCTCACTGGCCAAAAGATGGTCATGAACAAATATACCAGTATCCAAGGTGATTATGTTGGAATTGTGAGGAGCCCATGTGCACTTATTCCCCCAATTTTTATGATTGATGAGCTTGACCGATGCTCGGAGTGGAATGATGCAATGCAAAAGTTGTCTGGTATGAAGAGGGAAGAAGCCATTGACAGGATGCTTCTTGGAGAGGTTTTTACAGTGGACAATTTTGGATGTCGGGTGAAGGATCATGACACCTTAACCAAACTCAGGATAGTATTCAATGGGATAACTGCTGGCGAAAACACAGATAAATTATTGTTTGGGTTCTTTGATCGGCAGGGTAAATTTATTGAAGTATTACTTTCTGCAAACAGAAGGACTGATGCTGAGGGAAGGATCACTGGTACTTTATGCTTTTTGCACGTAGCTAGCCCTGAGCTTCAATATGCTTTGCAGGTGCAGAGGATGTCTGAACAGGCAGCAGCCAATAGCCTCAATAAGTTGGCATACATCCGTCAGGAGGTCAGAAAGCCTTTGAAGGGGATCGTGTTAATGCAGGATCTGATGGGGGCTTCTGATTTAAGTAGAGAACAGAGGCAGCTCCTGAGGACAAGTGTAATGTGTCAGGAACAATTAACCAAGATTGTTGATGATACAGACATTGAAAGTATTGAGGAATGGTACAATTGCTTAAATATGCCTGTTAACTGTATCCTAATTAGTGTTGTTGATCTTGTTGATTTCAAATGAACATAAATTTGGTTTTTATTTGCAATTAATCTTTCAGGCATAGAAGATTTTAACCCCCTTTTTCTTTATTTTTTTAGCAAACATTTACACCATGTGACTTCTATTTGCAGCTACATGGAAATGAATTCTGCAGAATTTAACCTGGGTGAAGCCTTGGAAGCTGTCCTAAAACAAGTAATGATAACAAGCCAAGAGCGCCAAGTTGAGGTCATCCAAGATTTACCTGCTGAGGTGTCATCTATGCACTTGTATGGAGACAATTTGAGGCTTCAGCAAGTCCTTTCAGATTTTTTTGCAAATGCACTTCTCTTCACTCCTGCATTTGAGGAATCATCAGTTGCATTCAGGGTAATTCCTCGGAAAGAACCAATTGGAACGAAGATACACATTGTTCATCTTGAATTTTGGTAAAAATCCATTTCCTGTATGCTTTATTATGTTTGCAGTAGATGCAGTCTGGCCAGTCTTTTTTATTAAAAAGGGAGAAAAGATTCAACCACCTAATTTCTGAGACCCCCTTTTTTCTGCAGGAAAAAAAGAAAGGAAAATGAAAGTTGATTGGGCCGGGATGGGGCGGGGGGGGGGGGGGGGGGGGGGGGGGGGGGGGGGGGGGGTGGTTTGGGTTGGAGGCTAGAATAGTAGTAAATTTAGTACAGGTCGTAGCATGAGCACACTGTCTCTGACTCAAAATTGACAGAAGATATTCGTAAATTGGGTAAAAATTGTATTTAACTGGTAATTGAAAATGTTAATCCTATTTCTGTCCTTTTTTTTGTTGGTTTCTTAGGATAATCCTTTCAAAATTTGTGTAGCATATGTTGTATATTAGGTGGTGACCGTATCAATTCTCATTGTATCTATCTATGATAGCTAAGAGACGTTGGTAGTCTTCCTTGGTATATTTATTGAATGTGTTCTGGGTATTAGAATGGCCATTCTTACATTCCATCATTGCTGCATAATGTATGGGTGACCAATACCCACTTGTGGAGGAAGTCTAAAACTGCTGACTGCTGACTGCTGAACGTATCTTCTAAAATGTGGTGGGATATATACTGTTATATCATTTTCACCACAATTTGCATTAGGTTTTTGCCTGTAGTTCTTTTCATTTAAAATAGTTGTCTTATTTTTTAGATCTCAAAATATTGAATTTATTACTTTTGTTCTCTGATGAGGTTTCTTTTCTTGCTTGCCTTTGTTCCAACATTGAATGGTCTTGCTTTTCCATCTTGCTATTAATCGTATTCAGGATGCATTTATCATACTTAGGATATGAAGAAAGAACAGTTTCAAATTGTTTTCAACTTTTCTCAAGGTGAATATTCAAACATTATTGTTGGCTTTCACAAGCTACCGGAGTGATTGGAGCAATTATATGTCATGTTTCTACATCTCCTCAATTAGATAAAGAATGAAAATAGGGCTGATGACTTTGATTGTTCAAATCGCAGGATCACTCATCCAGCACCAGGTATCCCAGAAGATTTAATTCAGGAGATGTTTCACCATAGCCATGGTGTCTCGAGGGAAGGTCTAGGCCTATACATCAGTCAGAAGCTTGTAAAGATTATGAATGGCACTGTACAGTATCTTAGAGAGGCAGAAAAATCATCCTTCATTATTCTTGTAGAATTTCCATTGGCCCGCCATGTTGGCCAGCATTGAAAACCCAGGCCATGGAAATTTGGTTGGCAGAGAAACAATGCTACTGCAGCTTCCACATGAAATACATAGGTGGCTTGTCATCTCAACCAAACCAGTGCCTCAGGGCTCGGGGTCAAGTTGCAGTCATTATGAGGCTGGATGAGACGGGATGCTGCTCAAGCTGTCAAAGATCATTCTCCATTAAAAGTTTGTAAAAGCAGGTGAAAAGTTCACGGCAAAGTCAAGGCTTTGGTAATGAAAAAACCTGATAAATTCTGTTTAAAATTGTCACAACCTTCCTTCATATGGATACTATGCATACCTATCTTGCATTACAATCACTTCAACTGAGAAAATATCTAATTGCTTGGGCATATAGCACCAATGTTGGCGCTTTGGGGCGGTAAGATTTCGAATTGGATACCTCTAGATGATCCATTGACTTGTTAAGAAACTCTTCATGCTATGGAGGACAGACAGGTTGAGATGTCAATCAGACCTTGGTGGGTTATCACTTGCCTCAAATAACTTAGCAAAAATGCAGCAGAATTTGAGCAAGTTGTTCTGAAACTAGAGCTAACATCTATCTAGAAGGCATTGGAACTGTGGCTAGTGGCAGAGTTTTCAGTGGTTCAACGTTCCCGAAAACCCATAGTAAGAGTTGTAATTTTGCCAGTTGGAGGATCAGCGAGCAACCATGTTATATCTTGACTCTGTTTCTTCATTTGCTGTTCTGTTCTCAGGAACTGATAGTATTCCTGTGTTTTGCGTTTCCGGTATTCTGTTTGTAAACGGCTGTAGGGCCTCTTGTGGTCTGTCTGTAAACGACTGTAAATGTTGTGTCTGTAAACACGTGTAGCAGGGTTAGTGTTTGTTCAATGAAAGCATTCCATTCATCCAAAACTAAAAGAAATAAAACGTGGGAAAGTATCGTTGTAGTGCCATCAGCTTTCTTTTCTTACATTATTAAGCCTTAATGTAACATAACTATGTCTCACGTTTCTTCAACACTTTTAATCTAGAAAAAATTGTAAAAAATAACCTTCTCGTAAAGTCATTTCAAAAATAACTATTAAGAGAGAGTTAATTGTTTTTACTTAATTATAGTCATAGGATAACAAAAATATCTTTAAAATCATTTCATATAAATTAAATGATTTTTAAAAAAACATTAAATGCTTTTAATTCTTTTCTCGTCATTCATCTCATTTTATTTTGTTTTGTGTTTTTCTTTCTCGTCATCTAGCTCTATTTAATTTTACTATCATCATCATCTTTTTTATTTATTTCTTGTTATTTTACCATATCATCGTCGATCTATAAACTAAACAATACGATATGTAACATAACAACATATTCTTGGTTTATTGGTTTATATTGACAAAACTCTCTCCATTTATCTTTTGCCATCTTATCATCAATATCAAAAAACATGGCATGGTGAGTAACAACAACCTTTTCTATTTATTAATGTTGAGTTTTTCAATGATTCAAGTTTAGTATAACATACCTTGACGTGTAACAAAATAATTTGTGTCTTAGCGTGTAACATCAATAGGAAAATGTAGAAAAAAAAAAGTTTTGGAGTGTAACATCTAATGCTAAAGCTTTGGTCTTGGCATGTAACATTTAGTGCTAAGACTTTAGTTTTAGCGTATAGCATCTGGTGCTGAAACTTTAACTTTAATATGTAACTCTTTGATTTTAATATGTAACATCTGATGCCTAATTTTTTGTGTGTAATATATCTTACTGAAGTGTGTAACATTTTTTTGAATATGATATGTAACATATTCTGTTGAAATGTACAACATTGTTTTAAATATGGTGTGTAACAATAACATTTATTAAACATAGCGTGTAACTTGCTTCTTTGTATTTTATCATAATATAAATTCTTAAAGTTAAAACGTGAAATAACTTTTTTTCAACTATAACAATATTTTTTTTGAATATGGCATATAATACCAACATTTTTAAACATAATGTGTAACTTGTTCTTTATTTTTGTATTTTATGAGGATATAAACTCTTGAAATTATACACTTTTACGATAAAAATAAAGTTTAAAATAAAAAATGAATTTAAAATGAAAATAAAAATGTATTAAAAAATTAGTCAACGTCAAATAGGGATAAAATAGATTTGGATAAAAAATATTATCCAAAATCCTCTAACTCGAATAATTAACTTTTAGGTTATTTTATTTGTTATATTTCCTATAATTATAAAAAAAAACATGAGTAAGAAAAAAGAGATAAAAATAGAGAATATTAACACTTCGAATATAAGGAGATTCCATTAAAGGTAATTTTGTTTAAAAATCTTTGCTAATGGCTATAAATAGTTAAAATTAAAAAAATACTATTTTTGAAAATACCTTATTTTTGAAAGTTAAAAATAATGGTCCCTTTAATTTATATATATTTTGTTTTCATTTTCATTTATTTTTATTTTTTTTGAAAAAAAGAAAAGAAATTGATTTATGGAGTTGCCTTTTTCTCAACCCATTTTTATACATTTTTTTTCTAAATTATTTAGAATTGAAGGGGAAATGAAAAGGAAAAATTAAAAAAAATCATATTTTTTCTTTTTATCTATTGTTATGTGATATTAGAAATAAAGCATCGTGAACTCATTTTTTAAAGTTGAAAATGAGCAGAAACTTTTACTACTTACTTTTGGTATCTAATGTTTATTATAATATATGTTATTAATATTACAATAACAAGATTTGTCAATTACGACAATGATTTTGAGAAATAAATGATTATTATAAATATAATGTTGAAAATGTCTCTTAATAAATCATTAATTCACAACTTACATATTATCATATTATTGTATATTTAAATTAATTACAATGTGACTGTTTCAAAACTCAAGAAATATTAAAGGAGTAATAACTCTTATTCGAGTGTGTATTTATAAATAAAATGAAGATATATTTATAACCTAATAATTACTTATCTAAATAAAATTTATAAAATAAAGATAATATTAAAGATTTCATTTAAATGAATAATTTAAAATTAAATCTTAATTTTAATCTAATTTAATTTAAAATCAAATTTAAATATATATAATCAAATTTAAAAAATCGAATAAGATTACACTTATGTGTTTGACTTATTGAACGATGTAATATATCTGGTCACTATAATATAATGTATATTCATACATATAACGGTAACATTTAAAAGTTTATAATTTTCTTAAAAGAAAAAAAATGCAAATGGATTGAAAGGCTCCATAAAAGTGTTACTTGACATTCTCTTAGAGCTTTCTACATTACTTTTATTTAATGTTATAGATGATCACAAAATAAATAAAAAAAATATTACAAAAAATTGTCACATGAAAAGTAAATAATTGAGCATTGCACGATCATGCATGCATATGATATTAAATTTATAAATAAGAGTTTTTTTTTTTTAATTTTTTAAGTATAATGTTTGAGTTAAAAGTTGAAAGTGTACTTAAAGAACACTTGATAGAAGAATTTATCGCTAACACAAGTTAGCGCCGAACCAATCCTCTCCTCGCCGTTCTCCGCCTACACTGTCCAGATATATGTATTGTTACAAATAATTAAAAACGCCGACAATTTTGAATGTTTACAAAGGCGCGCCAAAAAGCATGAAGCAGAAGCAGAAAGGCCAACTGTCGACTTCGCCATGCTCCGGTCTCTCTTGCCATCCACTCACAGTTACAGGCGCAGGCCTGTTACCTGCAACTCAACCCTTGCTTTTACTTCACTTTTTACCCCAAAGCCCACCAACCAACTACTCGGCAAACCCCAAAACCTCAATTCCCACGTCAACCCATCTCTTCCTTCTCCAATCCAATTGGAACACTTGCTTAACCTCTACAAATTATCTCAATCTCAGCCCTCCTCCCCGCCCTTTTCACCTTCAAATTTCGAGCTATACGAATCTTTGGTTACCCGGTACCGCGATTCTCTTAGCTTAACCGATGCAAAAGAGTTTCATTTGCAGGTTTTCAAGTATGGGTTTGATGGAGATTTGTTTTTGTCCAACTCCCTCATCAATGCTTACGTAAGAGCTGGTGATTTAACGTCTGCAGGAAAATTGTTCGATGAAATGCCTGAGAGGAATTCAGTTACGTGGGCCTGCTTGATTTCAGGATATAACCAAAATGGGATGCCCAATGAGGCCTGTGAGGCTTTTAAAGAGATGCTTTGTACAAGTTTTTGCCCAACTCATTATGCCTTTGGTAGCGTTCTTCGAGCTTGTCAGGAGCTTGGGTCCTGCGGGCTTCAATTTGGTTTGCAAATTCACGGGTTGATTGCAAAATCTCGATATTCGTTTGATGTTGTTGTGTGTAATGTGCTTATGTCAATGTACGGGAGTTGTTTGGGGAGCATTGCTGATGCTCGTCGCATTTTTGATGAGTTACAGGTTAAAAACTCAATATCTTGGAACTCTATTATATCAGTTTATTCACAAAGTGGGGAAGCAGTGTCTGCCTTTCAGCTGTTCTCAAGGATGCAACAAGAGGGTATTCGGTTCAGTTTCAAGCCTAATGAATATACATTTGGGAGTTTGATAACTGCTGCTTGTTCTTCCATGGATTTTGGTTTAAGTTTGCTCCAGCAAATGCTTAGTAGGATTACAAAATCTGGGTTTGTTTCAGATCTTTATGTGGGTAGTGCTTTAGTAAGTGGGTTTGCAAGGTTAGGTTTATCTAACTATGCTATGAAGATTTTTGGGCAGATGAGTCAGAGAAATGCAGTCTCTATGAACGGTTTGATGGTTGGATTGGTAAGGCAGAAATTTGGTGAAGAAGCGGCTGAAGTTTTTATGGAGATGACAAACTTGGTTGATATAAATTTTGATTCTTACGTTATTCTGTTAAGTTCTTTTGCTGAATTTTCTGCATTAGAGCAAGGGAGAAGAAAAGGTAGAGAGGTTCATGGATATTTGATTCGTAGGGGCTTAAATGATGCTGTGGTTGCAATTGGAAATGGGCTTATTAACATGTATGCTAAATGTGGTGATATTGTTGCTTCTACTTCTGTTTTTAGACTTATGCTTAATAAAGATTTGGTCTCTTGGAATACCATGATTTCTGGTCTTGACCAGAATGAGTGTTTTGAAGATGCTGTCACAAGCTTCTGTGCAATGAGAAGAACTGGATTAATGCCTTCGAATTACACTGTAATAAGTGCTTTGAGTTCCTGTGCAAGCTTGGGCTGGAGCATGCTTGGACAACAAATACATGGTGAAGGTATGAAATTGGGACTTGATGTGGATGTTTCAGTTTCAAATGCTCTTCTAGCATTATATGCCACTATTGGATGTCTTTCTGAATGCAAGAACATTTTCTCCTTGATGCTGGACCATGATCAAGTTTCTTGGAATTCTGTGATTGGAGCATTAGCTGATTCAGAGTCTTCGGTTTTAGAAGCAGTTAAGTACTTTTTGGACATGATGCGTACTGGGTGGGATCCTAACAGAATAACCTTTATTAACATTCTTGCGACAGTATCGTCTGTTTCACTCAGTGAATTGAGCTGTCAAATACATGCTCTAATAATTAAATACCATCTTGCACATGACAGTTCCATTGAGAATGCACTTTTGGCTTGTTATGGAAAATGTGGAGAGATGGATGAATGTGAGAAGATTTTTTCCAGGATGTCTGAGAGAAGAGATGAAGTTAGTTGGAATTCCATGATTTCTGGTTATATACATAATGAGCTCTTGCACAAAGCTGTGAATTTAGTCTGGTTTATGATGCAGAGGGGTCAGAAATTGGATGGTTTCACCTTTGCCACTGTTCTGAGTGCCTGTGCTTCAGTTGCAACATTAGAGCGTGGCATGGAAGTTCATGCTTGTGCGGTAAGAGCTTGTTTAGACTCTGATGTTGTAGTTGGAAGTGCAATTGTTGATATGTACTCCAAATGTGGAAGGATAGATTATGCTTCAAGATTTTTTAGTATGATGCCAATAAGGAATGTCTACTCTTGGAATTCAATGATATCAGGCTATGCACGCCATGGGCGTGGAGAAAAAGCTCTCAAGCTCTTTACACGTATGAAGCTAGATGGTCAATTACCAGATCATGTAACCTTTGTTGGGGTCTTATCAGCTTGTAGCCATGGGGGATTGGTTGATGAAGGATTTACCCATTTTAACTCTATGACAAAAATGTATAGGTTGGCTCCCAAGATGGAGCACTTTTCATGTATGGTCGATCTCCTTGGGCGGGCTGGTGAACTTGATAAGATAGAAGATTTTATCAATACCATGCCAATGAAGCCTAATGTTCTTATTTGGAGGACAGTCTTAGGGGCATGCTGCCGGACAAATGGTGACAAGACAGAGTTGGGTAGGAAGGCTGCTGAGATGCTCTTTGACTTGGAACCTCAAAATGGTGTGAACTATGTGCTTCTTGCTAACATGTATGCTTCTGGGGGAAAGTGGGAAGGTGTAGCAGAGGCTAGGGTGGCAATGAGAAAGGCTGTAGCAAAGAAAGAAGCTGGTTGTAGTTGGGTTACAATGAAAGATGGTGTCCATGTATTTGTGGCAGGTGATAAATCACACCCTGATAATGATATGATCTATGCAAAACTCAAGGAACTTAACCGAAAGATGAGGGATGCTGGATATGTGCCACAGACAAGATTTGCATTGTATGACTTGGAACCAGAGAGTAAAGAGGAACTCCTGAGCTACCATAGTGAAAAACTTGCAGTCGCTTTTGTTCTCACACGCAATTCTGCATTACCTATTATGATAATGAAAAACGTTAGGGTTTGTGGTGACTGCCACATTGCCTTCAAGTATATATCAAAGATTGTTGGTAGGCTAATTGTACTACGGGATTCGAATAGATTTCATCATTTTAATGATGGTAAGTGTTCATGTGGAGATTACTGGTGACAGACTGGTCAGGCTTGATTTGTCCTTGGAGGATTATGGCATTGCATGCTGTGGCTCAACACTTCAGAGAGGAATATCATAAATTTGGTTTAATTTGCCTATGAATAGTCCATGCTAGAGTTTGATATGTGCTGAATATTTAACAGTTGGGAGAAATATGAAATTAGTTAGTTGGTTCTAAAACTTCAATGAAGCAAGAATTTGATATGTCTGATCTTGGGGAGATGAATTACTTTCAGGGATTGGAAACTGGACAGCTTGAGTCTGGAGTTTAACATGTGTTGGAAATTCTTTCAAAATGGTCCACTACAAACCAGAAGGAATCTCAAATGAAAAATTTTCAGTGTATGATAAAGCAGACATGGCAGAACCAGCAATGTACAGAAGCTTAATTGGAAGGTTATTGTATCTTTGTGCTTCCAGACCAACTATCATGTTCACTGTCAGATGCTTTCTATTTTTATGCGGTGTCCTTCCTAACTTCATTTCACAGCTGCAAATACAGTGTTAAGATACTTGAAGCGTACAATGGATTATGGTCTAATATATGAGCATCAGAACACTATCAAGCTTGTTAGTTACTTAGATAATGACTGGGCAGGAAGTATTGATAACTCTAACCAGGAAATAAGAGGTAGTAGCTCAATCATCAGCTAAGGCAGCATATGTTGTAGCTGCAGCAACTACTAACCAACTCATGTGGCTAAGAAAAATTCTACTGGGCCTGCAATTCGTTCAAACTAAAGCTACTGCCATTCATGTTGACAACAAATCAACAATTGCCATTGCCAAGAATCCTGTCTATCATGGCAAAATAAGCACATAAATGTGAAGTATCATGCCATCAGGGAAGTTGAGAAAATAGGTGAAATCCACGTTCAATACTGCACTTCCGAACACCAACTAGCAGACAGAATGACAAAGGGTCTTGTCAGGCAAAGGTTTGAGTATTTGAGATCAAGGTTGGGAGTCTTCAAAGCTTGTTCCAAGGAGGAGTCTTGGAGTTAAGACTTGCATTGAAGATCCTTTGGCAAATTGCTTACAAAACCTTTCTGTTTATATTATTTTTAATTTCTACATTTAATACTAATTTATATTTCATAGTACTTTGAGCAGTGCATGTGTCCGCTGCATGCAGTGAAAAGAAAGCTTATCTCAACCTGTAGTTACTGTATTGAGTAGGGTAAGTCATGCTTCAGTTCAGCATGTTTTGCTCCTATATGTACTTTAATTTGGATGAAAGAACATGCAAAAGTTCAGTTGATGTTTCTCGAGTTTTTTTTCTATGTTTTCCTTTATGGCTGTTTGTTTAAGATTCATGTTCAATGCTTGGTTGCTTACTGCCTTTTCCAAGCGTTTTACCACGTGCAATGTGCTTTATCAGGACATTGGCAGGTTAGCAGAAAACCCGAGGTGGGCAGCTAAGAATAATATCATGCGTCCATGATCTCATGGTACTGGTAGCTCTCTTTCTATCTGATGTAAAGAAGTACCAATTATGAATTATTTGTTTCATGATGGATTGCTTCACCGAGGAATATACATGGCGATTGCATCTCTTGTTGCTCTCTAGCTGTATACATCCATACAAGTAAGATGGTGAGAAAAAGACCTTTCAAGGATAATGCTAGAGAAAAGGGGTTTATGAAACTGAAGTTGTATAATACGAGGGTTGTGGGGTCTCAGCAACATATCATTAGTATTTAGAATCCGGTTGATATTAATTATCATGATTCACGTCAACTTTTATAAGATATTATCTATTTTGATTTATTGGTCTCACGATTTTATTCTACGAAAATTGAAGTTAGCGTGAACTTTTATATATTCAGTAATACTCTAATATATAACCGATGTGAGATTTATGATTTTTTTTTTAAAATTATGATATCTATTTTTATTTTCTATTAGAAGTATCTCTTGAATATAAAATTTCGTGACTCGACCTGTTGTAAAATTTACATCTATGTGAGGAACGTGACACTTATATTTCATGTATCATAAAAAAAAATCTTGTAGAAGTTTTACAACTATTGTTTAGTCAAGTTGTTGTGAATGATAAGGGCTTACATTTTGCCATAACATGCCAAATCCTGTCACAAAATAGTCAAAACAGGACCCAGTCAAGTGACGGGTCAAAAAATTAGTATTTGATTCCAGTGCCTGTGTGTTTGGTAACCAGAGACGACCGAGTCGGGTTGTGGGGTCTTTAGATGGAAGCAGGTCAAGCACGGTGAAAAACTCCTGTCTCCCACTATCCATGCTGTAAATGTAACATATTTGGAAGTGTTTGGGTCCAAGGAAACCCAAGCGATGGAACGTCGGTATTTGTTTACATTTTGTTCACTGCAGTTTTGTGTTTTGCTCTCACTTTTTCTTGTATTCTCTACATTTTTTTCCTTATAATTATTGTGTGTGCATGTGCAAAGGGCAAAGACTCGCTTTCTTTCTCTGCAAAAGGATGCACTATGATTCTTCAGCTCTGAATGGGGCCCTTAGAAACCATATGATATCATGAAGGAAAGAAGCTGTTAGCGATGGAAATTAATTTATTGCTTAGTGATGCTGATGTTTATTTAGTGGTGGGGTTAAGTCTCTTTCTTTTTGTTTCAATTTCAGGAAGACGGATGCTGGGCAGCTCATCATGACGTATGACACTCTCGTTAAGATTTGAGGATCTCGAAGTTAGATTGTGAGGTTGTCCCTTGAAAGTTGCTTCTAAAATGGCTTGAAGACTGATTCAAATCTGTAAGATTGAGCAGCTCATTGGTGTGGTTAAAACATGTTGTCAAAGCTATTTAGAATCTTCTACCCTGCGTGGAGCTTGCCCCTATGTGTGGGGGTTAGTGATGACAGAGTCTTCTCAAGTCAGAATTACTGTCAATTACTTCCCAGTTGAAGGGTTAGAACAGGGCGAATTCAAACTTGGAGCTTTCTTATTCAAGGGAATTTGTGGTGGATAGGGTGGAGTGCGGGCAGATACCTTTGGGAAAGTGATTGCAGACAAAAAATCTTTAGATTGAAATAGAATCATTCCTCTTACTCCAATGAGGGGAAGGCTAATCGGATTAAATTTGCTCACTTTCTATTGTCCTCTTCTGGATGACTTGAGGTCAAGTGGGCAATTGCTCGGTGGCTTCCTTTGATAAAGTAACCATCGGGCAAAAAACCAAAAACCAGCCCTGGTATAAGGCAGGGACAGGGACATTCATATAATCGTACTGGGGAGAAAAATAGAGGAAGATCAGAAGAAGGGTAACATCAGGGATTGTATCAATCCCTTCACAGATCCTATTTGATTTGACTTTCCAACTGCCTCTCAGGCCTTGTCTTAAGCATTAATGATTAAACAAATATAACGAAAGGCTATTTGAAGATGCCCTGTGCTTATAAACCCCGCATTGGCACTAAACCCATTGTTTAGAACTTTAAAGATTTTGATGGGTTCTAAATCCTAACTCGAAACCAAACTGTAAGATCCAACAACTTAATTATATTTCTAAACAGCAAGCCTAATTACCATCTTCAAATCCCAATACATGATTATTTGCATTAAAAACCATTTCATCACAGCTTGTAATTTACATAAACAGAAATTATTAGAGGTAACTCAGAAATCAAATTTCTGGGAAAAAAAATACTAACAAGGTAACCAGGTATGTGTGCAAATTATTCAAAACAAAACCTCAAGTTAGGGACTTAAGAGACCGGCAAAAGAAAGAAAACAAGTTACAGAAATCTATAACTACAAGCAGGTTGATGCCTAGACTCTTGCGTGTGTTAAATTCAATTATTGAACCATGATCAGTTGCCGGGCTTCAAATTGGATTCCTTCTTTCATCTTTCTAATAAATTCTTCACATTTCTTGTTTAACTCTTCTTTACTCATCAACCCAAGTGCTTCATCTTCATCTTCCTCAACTACAATAAGCTCACTACTTTGTTCTTCGGCTTCATCTTGTACAACCAAGGGGACATCTTCTGTTCCTTGTACCAGGGCCAACGAATCCATTTTTGATTCTCGTGCTTCTAGATCAACTTCTATAGTAACTTTTGCCTTTGCAACCGACCCTTTCTTCTCTGATGATTCAAGCTGTTCTCTGTCACTGCATCCCTTCCTCTTGATGGTCTTTTCAGCTTTAGAATCAGGTTTTACCGAAGAACTACGGATCAAACCAGAGCTGGTGGCAATAAAAACAAGAAGCCCGTTGCAAAGTAGGAACATATAATTCTTACCAATGCTGAAATTGAAGAGTTGCAAACCATATGCCAAAATGTGGAACTTGCATAACAGAGGGTAGGATAACATAACAGAAAGGATAGAAAATGGGACCAAAATTTTGGCGACTAGCTTCAGGAAATAGAAGCTGCTGATCAATTGAATTGGAGCTTGGGTTCTTTGCTGTTTCCGTATCTCCATGCTTACTTTGCGCTCTTTAGCTATAGAAAAGGTCTGGGAGAGACTTTTAAAGAGCTTCAACAGTTGCAGAGAGAGGGGGTTTGAGATTAGATTATAACTTAAAAGCACAGGCTAAATGGGATGAGGCAAAAGCTTTATAGAAGAATCCTTAGGAGCTGATTCCTCGAAGTTACCCCTTTTCATCAAAGATGTACTCTTAGTTAGGCAACTACTAAATTTCAGCCCTTTCTAATTCTTGTTTATAGTATTCAACAAGTATGATTAGTATTAAGGAAAAAAACCCATTTTGGCAGTGTCTTATTAGTATACCAAGAAGACCAACAATATATTTTTCCAAATAAATTTAAACTTTGATCTACCGTCTCTTTGTTTATATATATATATATATATATATATTTTGTCTTCCAACTAGCATTCAGAACGGGACAGTATAATTTAAGCAACGTTTTTAATATTGATATCGATAGCTACTTACAATTGAATTCCCAATTTTGTTAAATTTTCTACCCTTGGGAAAAGCTGATAATAAAAGTTTATATCGCTGATATTAAATTGTATCAGTAGATTCAGTACCAACAAGTTAATAGTTACCCAATGTATTAAATATTTGTGTGGGAAATGCATGAGTTTCGAACAAGATGTACGGATTCACTCTTGAGATGAAGTTTTTATATATATATATATATATATATATATATTTTGAAATGCTATACCTTTATACCTTAAACAATATCAATATGCAAAACAGCAGGTGAACAAAAACCCATCCCTGCATCTTAGGCACTCACTGCCCGGGCCCCAGGAGCCGTCGTCTGTCCCCAGCGAGTCGACGCCGTAGGGCCGGCACAACCCTCTCATCCAGACCTTTTGGTGCCAGACAACTCCTTCAAAAGATCAAAGACAAGCCAAACAACGAGAGGGTCAGTAAAACCCAGCCGGCCTTCCCTTGACGACAAGAAACAAAAAGTAAACAAAGCACTCAAAACAGGGGGCCTACTAAACATTTTCAGACTCTTAAGGGAGCGGAACATAATCATGATTAATCCAAACAAAATCAAGTGGCCTCAGTACCCCACCTTTTGCAAGGATATCAATATCCTTCCCTGTTAGCTGACCTGGGTGTATGTCTGAACTACCACCTCAGATTAAGTTTATATTTATTAATATATATTTGTACACACAATAAATGAACCATCACCTGTTATACTTCCATCAAAATTAACATTTACTTGCAAAGATTTATTTTTA